CTAATTTGAAAATAATGCGCTCAATCATTTTCACATTTCAACTTTTGCGGCTGCTTTTCATAAACACACACACACACACAAAAGTAAAAAAAAACGAACTTTAAGAGTTCGCTGCGTTTTGCCAAGCCGCCCCTCTGTCGCTCCCACTACCCTGCTGAGGCAGCTGATTGTCTGTATAATTACATAATATTGCATAATTTGCAAAGTACTTTGGCTTTGGGATTTATGCTCTGTTAGCTACAGTCGACAGTACAGTACTCGAGATTCGAACACTAGGTATTGGCGAGAGGTGGGGAGACGGGCAAGACTTGGACTCAGCACAATGCTGCCTCATTATCGTTTTGCTGACCGGGTCGCTCTTGGTCTTCTTCGTTTTTGTTTCGTTTCGTCTCGTCTCGTTTCGTTTCGTTTTCGTTTTCAGTATCAGTGCACAATGTGGTACTTAAATAATAGAAGTTTAATAGCGTTTTGTTTTCGGTACTTTGTCGGTACTTTGCTTTGCCTACAAGTAGTTAGCTTTTTTTGTTGCCCCTCTCTTGTTTTTGTTGGCTTTTTTGCTTTTTTGAACTACTAATGCATTCAGCTGTGTAGGATTTTGTCAAGGTTAGCCGGTTGTTGTTTGTAGCGCTAGTTACGGCGGGCGGATATAATGACTTCTGATGCATGTGCTTTTGGCCAGCATCTTTGAGGCGGAGCAGAGGAAGTGTGCGCTCTTTTCAAAACTAGTGTAATTGTTCTTAAGTTCGTTCAAGTTCGTTGCCTGAGTCATTTGTGCAACATTTGTGTGTTGAAACGACTTTCAGTTCGCTAATTTCGCGCATAAATCATCAAAGAAAATCGCTCGCTCGCTTTTGCCGTATGGAACTGATTACACACACATGCACAGCATGAGGCACAACCCACCAAATCAAAGAGTTGTTTGCCAAAAGGCACAAAAAAAAAATAAACAAAAAAAAAGTAGACTCCAAATGATGTCTGCCACAGGATGAGACGCTGGCTGCATTTTGGGGCGCCTGAAATGTATCTGCAAATAAATGAAGTTGTCTGCGCGCTGCCAGCCATGCAACTCACTTCTCTAGTAGAGTCATCAAGCCCAGGCTCTAGCTTGAGCTTCACTCTAGCTTCAGGATTGATCATTGATCTTTTGGCACTCGCCAGACACATGCGCCGCAGACAGTGCCTGCGCCTTGTGCCTTGTACATTGCTGGCTGCCTTCACGAAATTATAAATAGTGCAAATGCGTGCAGTGCATCATCATCATTAGTTTTTGGCCAGGCCAATAGACTTGTCTAGCCAAAACGAAACGGAACGAAACGAAACGGGGCGAGGCGAGTCGACTTCGGGCTGCCCTATAACTTGTTTGGCCAATTATGCAACACAAATCATCAGCTGCAACATTGTCTGTCCTGTTTGTCCATTTGTTAAATTATTTCAATTTGTTTTCTTTTACTTCATGCGCTTTGTAACTTAATTACAAAGTGCGATGCTGACTGCAGTAAGTCTCGCTTTTTCTCTTTTTTTCATTTTATCTTCTTTTATTCTTAACAAATTTTACCATATCAAGTTCGTGTCCTAAGTCTTTCGTTTTGTTGCAAGCATTTTCTAATTGCAAGTTAATTTCTTGTGGCGAACATAAATTTAACATTCTAATTGAGTTATCAACCGCAACATGTACACCACACGAGCAAAAATTCCAACAAGGAGTCCCACAACAACAACAACAACAACAGCCAAATGAGACGGAACAACTTTTACAGCTCCTCCAGAGCTAACAAAACTGGCTACGCATGTGAAAAATTGCAACCGGCTATGGCTACAACCGCAAACCAACAAAAATTGCAAGCAGCCGCAACAACAACAACAACAACAACTCAAACAACAACAACAACTGTTGCTGCTGCTGCTGTTAGTTGCTGTAATTACATTTTGTATGTTTGTGTGTGTTTGGAGCGCGGCAAATGCTTTTTGGGCTTTTGCTAATTTGCTAGCTGTGCTTCTGTTTTTGCATTTTGGCCATGTTTAGCCATGGCTTTGGCTTATTTATTTTTAGGCATTTATAACTTTTTGTCTGCAGCAAGAATTTTCCAACGTGCAAATATGTTGCCAGAGCCACCGCCGCCGCAGCTCGTAATTAATTTACTTTGTGTGTTCGCAGCGGCCAACAAAATATGAAAAAATCCATTACGCAAATGTTTATGACCAAAATGGTCAGCGGTAGCTGCACCAGCACCAGCAGCAGCATCAGCATTAACTCGCAACAACTGGCAGCAGCCTCGTCCAATGCAAATAGAAAAGATGCCAAAGAGTTGGAGCTGCAAATGGAGTTGCAGATGCGTGCGACGGAGTCGAAGTGCATTTGACTGTAAGCCACCACTGCTGTTGCGCGGCTGTAAGCCACCAAGTCAATTCCAAGTCAAGTGTCCGGCCAGGCCTCACACACGCACACACACACACACACATCTGCACACAGTCATACGCACGCACACACAACTCAACATTGTAATGCGTTTCTCTGTACCTGCCAATATGAATTTTAGTTGATTTTCACCAGTTGTTAAGTTCGTTGTCTAAGTCTTTTGTTTGCCATACCGTAGGGGCGTGGCAGTTCACATCTATAAACATTTACGTTTGATTAGCAACAATATTAGTCTCAACACAACAATACTAGTAACAGCTTTAGCTAACAAAGTTGCACTGCAATTAAATTACTGCTTAAGATACTTAAAACGGATTTGGATTCAAATTAATGAAACAACAACAACAGTTAAATTGCAGATTATGCCAATGTTATGATGGTGTCTATCGTAGGCAGCTTCTTTGTGTATAGGCACAGAGAAACAAAAGTTTAGATTAAAAATAGTTAGTCCACAAATAGCAAGCACTGCACATTGTTTATTAAAGTGTTTTAATGGACTATGTTATATGTTATTGTTATATGCGTATAATACTCATCTTTCTATTAAAGCGACATTCTTGCTGTTTACTTTTTTTTATAAAGCTGGCATAATTTCGTCTTGTAAAGGAAACATTTCTTTTAACTTGTTCACGATAGATAGATAGATAGATAGAGAGGGCTAGTGTTGTCAATAAAGAGATTCAATATTTTCCTTATATACCAGAATGACCTAACCAATATCGACTTAGCATAGCATTAAAACGTTATAGAAAACACCGTTTACAAATTTGCTTTTGTTTTAATTTTTTTTTAATATCGTGACCAAAATCGACAGATATAAAATTAATGATTGGGAAGCTTATCGAATGCCTCTGCTATATAGCTTCTATAAGAAAAAACAGTGTATGTTGTAATGCACTTCTATGCCTTGTATCTATAATCTTTTAACAATTTTGTATACAAAGAAAAAAAAAACAGGCTATAACTTTTTCTGCATCTATTTGTCTCATATATCATAATCGCAGTTCCCCCTTATTGCTCATACATATTTCTGAACTCTGACTAAATCTGTAGCCGAATCGTTAAAGTGTTCTTGTTCTTGTTGGTAGATTCATTTAAATTAAACATTAGTTTATCGTCTCACATTTCAACTAATTAACACTATGGCAGGCCCGCCTCTTTGGCAACCTCATTTCTAGGGGCCGCGCCGCTGTTGCCGCCGACTGTTTTGGAGTAAAACGAAAATCGGCTTAGGATCATAAAAAACGCACTTAAATAAAATTTAATATTCAAATATTGACATTTAGTGCCATGTTAGCAACAACTTACGTGGTTTTGAACCCATTCGAAATTTCTGTATAGAAATCTATTTTAAATACGCAGTTTTTAGCATTCGAGCCGCTTAATAATATTAACTAATTGATCTGCATTAATTTAAGTTGACATGAAGTCAAAAAAAAAATACGAAAAAAAATCAAAGTTCGTAAAAACAGGTGAAGCGGTCGCAGCTGCCATTTATGAAGATCAAACAGCATTGAAGTGTGTGCGTGTGTGTGTGTGTGTGTGTGTGTGTGTGTGTGTGTGTGTGGTGTGTAGTGTGTATTATGATTATTATATTTATACATAGTATGTGTTTTTTTTTTCTTTTCTAAAAATTATGACATCATTTAAATATTTTCGCCTCAAGCTGTTGTGTAAACTGGTTTAGGTTTTTTTTTCTCTATGTTTTTGTTTTATCATGAATTTTTCTCTCCCTCCATAAATGTTGGGTAATTATGCACGGGCTTCCAAAAGCTCATAATTCATAAATTTCTGCGCCCAATTGCGAGATGCGGAAGCGCTTTTGTTTTCGATATTGTTGGTATTTGATTTTGATTTCAAATTTTCATTGCCTTTATCTTATCAATGATACGTAAACAAAACACAGCAGCTTATCATTTTTGTTAATTTCCTTTGTTATCAAATGCACGTGTATTATATATCAAAATAACCTGTGCTTTTGAATTGTTTTAATATGGCTTTTGGCTATGCAGCTCGTAAAACAAACATATTTAGCTGTTTTTATATCAGCTTCTCCACTTTTTAGCTTGTTAAGTATGCAATTTGTATACCCTATAATTTTGGCTCGTATTTACAGTTGCATTTCTGACTGTATAAAACAAGTCTTTCCAAAGATTCAGCTTACGAAGTGCACTAAGCTGAGCATAATTGACTCTGACTGATATTGAAACTACTCCTTCTAATCTTACTCATTTGGAACCTGGTTTCCGCCAGCTAGGAATATCTGAATTAGTTAACGTTTTAAGTTTATACAGAAAACCCATTTAATTTTACGTCAAAACTCATCCTTGTCAATTTGTGATACTTTTCGATTCAAGCAAAGGGGTATTTTATCGTCGGCTCACCCAACATAATCGTTTTGGCTTTTTATACCCTTGTGCTTATTTCGTTTTATTGTAAACTTGGCGCTCTGCATTTATCATGCGTGGGGTTTCGTGTTAAAATTTGCGTCGTTTTACGGCTGAGCTTACAGGCAGCTAAATCGACTTGTTATAAATTCGGCATATATTATAATATTAAGCGGGAACTTTTGAGCTTGACTTACCGCATACGGATTATCCTGATTCATCATTGGAGATGCTTTTACGTTGAGCTCTTGAGCTCAATAGGGTGTGCTGCAAGAGAGGACAACAAATAAATAAATGTGTGTATATATATATATATGCATATAAAAATATATATCTCAATGATAAATTAGATGGTAACATAAGACTTTATAGCTGCTGCCATTTGGCTTTTAAGTGTGCCAAGTAATAATCATAATTTCAATATTTATTACAATATAAAATGCAAATGCTGCTGCACCCATAAACACAATTTATGTCCGTTGTGTTCGCCTTAAATGTTAATTGTAAAGTATGGTAAAGCTGTTGCTCCAAATTTGAGCTGAAAGGCAAGAAGATGCTCTTTTGCTTGTCGCTCTGGGGGGAGTCCAGCAACTGCAGTGAGTCGGTCAGTTGGCGGTCCTGGTCAACTGTCTGACCATGTGTGACCAACAGGTGTTGGCTGTTCTTGTGTTTACTGTTGTTTTTGTTGTTATTGCTTGCGACTGCCACATTTGCATTGAATATGTGCACAAGTTAACACGTTTGTACTAAATACTTTCACACTTTGTCTCCCTCTTCAACCACGAATGCAATAGGAAGCAGCAATTGTTGTCTTCCGGCTTGCCTTCATAAGGATGCTGTTGCAGTAGCAACAACAACAGCAGCAGCAGCAGCAGCAACATTTGCAAATGCGCAACAACGACCTTGATGTGTTAATTTGTCGTGCAGCATCCATCCAAACACCTGGCCAACAAGACTAAACACTCTACTTTTATGATTTAGTTAGGAGCTTGCAGTTAAACAAAAGACTTAGGCAACAAACTTTTTGCTTTGGTACTAAAAATCAACAATTTAAAATATGCTCTACTGACAATTACCCTGTAGTTATTTCATAATTCAAGGTTTTAAATAGAGAACATGAATCAGAGGCGGCAGATGCCATTCAGACGATTTTTTTAATGAAATATTTATTTTACATTTTTATATATCATTTAAGAATTCAGCTTTTCAATTTTTTCTTTAAATCCACTCAATTATTGGCACACTCTAAAAAGTATGCTACGTGTTCTACATTAACTTGTGTACTCTTATCATTTAAACAATTCTTTAGCAATCAAATTAAAAATAAATATATAAATTTTGGCTACAATTGCTTGCTCTTTTGCTAGCTCTGTATAAGACTTCAATCAAACTTGCTTTTCCGAAACTTTGATGCGCTCTTTTCCACACCTATCTTATGTTTAACCAATATACCCGCTTTGCACTGGTTATGCATAGCATGTTAAGTGCACACTTTGCAGAACTTATGCCCACAAATCACTTGTAATGACTGTGGGGCAATTGTCAATATTTGCGACACATGCAAGCGGCATCCAAGTCATCTACGTCTACAAAGGCAAATTCTTTGATTACAATTCTAGGCTAGTCGATAGTTCGAAGTTTTGTGTAACAAATTCAAGCAAATAACGCTTACATGCTATTTACCTTATAAAGTAAACATGTGCAGTTGTTACACTGCAAAAAACGACTAAAACCCAAACTAGTTGCATTAAAAATATGGAATAAAGCTGCTGCAGTTGACTGATAAACGAAGGTATTTAAAGGAATCTCAAGTAAAGTCTGATGATTGCAATTTATTGATTTATTTTTGCATATGGAGCACCTAAATATATGCCACATAACGATGAAGATATCAGAAATAATTTAAGCTTTCTCTCTTTGGCGTTTAATTTGGAAGAATTAAGATTGCAGCATATTTTTATTAATAACTATTTTCAACTGTTATTGCTTGGGTGCTGTTTTGAACAGTGTATGAGCTTTTGGCTTACATTGATTCTGTTACATAGTCGTAAAGTTTATTTGCCTGCCCTTGTCGATTTCAGTTGTCGCTGTTGCTGCTGCTGTTGTTGTTGTTTTTGTTGTTGTTGTTGGTGGCTGTTTTATAGCCACACTAAAAAAGCACTGTCCAACAAAACGGACAACTTTCTCACCATGTATACCAATCCTCAATTGTCAGTCAGTTTGTCCGTTTTGCCTTTTATCTGCTCGCCATCTTCTACTCGTGTTTTGTTTTCTTTTTGAATTTTTACGTTAATGAAATTCACATGTTTGATTTTTATGCCATGGCATCTTTTTTTTTATTTTTATTTTTATATGTATGATGAATGTATCTCAATTCGTTCGCACGAGTATGTTCCATTCGTAACTCAGCCCCAACAGACTTCTAATCAAAATTTATCGCCAGGCTGCGACTCCTCAGCTCTAAGTCGTATTATGGTTATGTTAATAGCTGATAGTAGCTTTTAGTTTTTGTTTATTGTCGAGCTATTCATTTTTCTAGCTTGCCCGCCTGGCAAATTATGAATGAGTCCAAAGTTTCTGGTTCTGTTTAGCATCCCCATAAAAGAAGACTAAGAAATTACAAAACGTAGCATCTCTCATACCTTATAAAGAAATGTGAGCCTTTGAACTGCACCGAAGAGCAGTTGAAATAGTTTTTCTTAATCCAAATTTGAATAAGCTGCGATGCGATGCACTCGGCGCTTTTTGCGTTCCGTGTGTTGATTTTTCACGTATTTCAGTTACAAATTTTCATAGCGCACTGAGCTGCAGTTTGTTGTTGTTGTTGTGTTTCCTATTTGTTTTTTTTTTTTTTTAATATTTTTTTTCCTGTTTTTTTGCGTTACGGCAAAATCGAAAAATCATTTAAGTTGTTTGTTATGTGTGCACATTGTGAACTCTCTGGTCGTTTATTTCTATTTTTTATTTTTTTATTATTACTATTTTTTTCACCTTGCGCCAATAAAACGTCACTTGAGCGTACAGTATTTTAGCAATTGTTGTTTTTGTTGTTGTTGCTGTCGTTGTTGTTTGTCGTTGCTAAATTGCACTTGACTTTTAGAACTTTAGACGAGCGTGAAGCTCAGCCATATATATGTACATATACACATGCTTATAGCAACGCAGGCACATACATATACCGATCTTAACTCTAGAACTGACACAAACACGCGTTCGTTACGCTCCCTGCATTAGTGTGCCTTTGCGTGTGAGTGTGTGTGTGTGTATGTGTATATAGCACACTCGGTATCTGCGTGTGTGTAACCATTCAATTTGCTGCCGTCTAATTTATATAGAACATAGTGAAAGATGAGTTATATTTGACGTGTGTTCAGTTGACTCTCAAGTGCATTTGTTGTTGTTGTTTGGCTTAGGCCACACCTTTATTTGGTGAAAAGCCACTTGGACTTGGCCTGGGCAAATGGCGAACAAGCGCGCGCCTCTGTTTTCTTTTTTTTTTATGCCTATCATGTATGTGTGTGCTAAAGGTGTGAAATGTAAATCACTTGCGGCACTCAATGTTAACTTCTTAACTGTTAATTGGACTGTTATTGGGGTCACTTGCAGATTTGCATACTTGGGCGGGATGGTGGACAAGTCAAGCGCGATATATATCGATGAAAATGCGACAACCGTTTATCGATAAAGAACGCACGTTAAATTGTAATCGTTAAAAAGCCGACGACGCAGCCGTGCGAGCGTGCGACATGCGATTCGAGCGTGCGAGCAAGAAGCGCGAGCTATCACTAAAGACTGATGTTAAACAGTTCTGCAAAATGCTCCGGCTACGAAATACCGAACCGCACCTGGTAGCGGCAACGGCTGCTGCTGCTGTTGCTGCGGCTGCGGCTGCTGACTCGGAGGCCTCTGCAAAATGCTCACGAGCTCTGAGATGCTTTGCAATCAGCGGCGCGAATACGAAGCGACAGCCGGGGTTCGGCTTCGGCTACCACACGGCAGCAGCAACAACAACAGCAGCAACAACAACGACAACAACAACAATGAGAAGAAGCTACTGCTATAAACAAAAACTACAAACTGGTTGTCTCATCAAAAGGCAAACAAAACCTAGCAGAAGACGTGCTCTCTAACGGTGGTTGGGTTACGTCTGGCTGGAAGAGAGCATACGAGCAGCCGCTCAATGGCCGTGAGTGGGAGAGCGAGCACGCGCGCGCAGCTTTGAGTGCTTTTAAGAGTTAACAGTGGGCTGTAATGTAAACGCTTAACAGCGCTGTTGTGTATTCTTCACACGAATATACAAATATTACTCTCTTGCTGCCAGCAAGGCGGCAAAAAGTCACTCAATATATGACGGGGTTGCGCATGCGCGCACTCGCTCTCACTCCATTTTGTATTTAGATCTTAACAGCTGAGCGCAACGGCAGCTGCTCTCTGCTTCTCTCTCTCTTTCGCTGGGTAAGCGTTACGACATTTGATTGGCTCGATTAACACAATCGGAGCACCTGGTTATAAACCAGTATAACAGCGCACTCACGCACACACACACGTCACACAACCATGCAGTTGAGACGGCACGATCGCTCGCTTGTCGTGTCGCTCTATAAATATAAAGAGCAGCTATCCATTGTGTGGGTAAGAGGGAGTGCGCACTATGTAGCGCCGCTTTGCTCGACTAAACGCGAACTTATTTACTCATTTCATTGACCAATGCAGAGCACAGCACACACACACTCGCACTTGTGCATATATGCACTCGTCATATACAAATGAGAGCGCCGCACATCAATGAGAGTGACGACTGATCATGTAGGCGAGTGACTGTGTGTGTGTGTGTGTGTGTGTGTGTGTGAGTCGATCGCGTGTGTGTGTGTTTGCATGTGTAGCAGCTCGGCTGATCAGCTTTGCCAGCCAGCCGTCGCACGTGGGCGTGGTCTATTTATGCAGCTCAACTGTTGCTATGTATCGATCGATACTTGTGTATTGCCCCCCTTGCCGCTTTTCCAGCCCACTGCCACCCCTTTTACTCACGTTAGCTCTGCTAGCGTTGTTTTTGCATGTGCACGAACTGGATTCAATTGCCGTTGGCTGGGGCAACACTCACGCGAGTTTGTTAGTTAGTTAGTTAGTTTGGGTTAACTTCCCCATTGCTAACGGTGTTAAATTGACATCTGGCTGCCCGCCCCACCGCCTCATCGTCTGGCCACGTAGCAGCGCCATCTTTTAGCCATTTAAAAGTTGTCAAGCTGTCATAGTATTGATCGTTAAATACGTTATCTGTTGATAGCCATAGGACATTTTATGATATTAGTTGCATTGTAAACAGCACTATCCCACAACAGAAACACTAGAAACACTTGAAACACCAGAAACACTTGTTCAGCATATCGCCTGCTGCCATGCAGATCCTCCAATTGCCAGTTAAAAGATGAATGTAACATAAAGTCGCTCGTATTTATTGTTATACTTCTAGCTAATGAACTGTCTATCGAAACAAGCTAACTAATGTAAATTCGATTGAGAAAAACTGCTGAGAATTTCTCTGAAAAACGAGTCGATAAAGGAATGTCACACAAAATTCCCCATTAAATAAAGTTTGAATGAATTATTTGAGCTGTTTTAAAAATGCATTGCAAAATATATTTGCTTAACAATAACTAGTACAAGTATCTAAGCATTTGTCCACGTCTAAAATGTATTAATAAGTAAATATTTAAAAGTAATTTCTTACGTTTGTTATTTCACTACTCCTTTCCTTTTCAAAATATTACCATCATAATTTTTACCTAGAAATTTCTATTGTTTGCCCCTTTCCAAAAGTCACATTTCGAACGCTTGGTTCACAATGAAACATTTGCAGATGTTCGCCAAGTTCTTGTTTCATTAGGGGCGTGACGCCAGCAACTATCGCTGCATCAGCACCAATAATATTCCCACTAACTGAAAAACTTTACAGAAGTTAATCCAATTTGTCGAGTTTTATGATATGGCAACCCGCAAAAACCCGCAACTCGTTATCATGTGTTTGTTTTCTAACCCTTTTTCGCAGCACGAAAGAGGAAGGAAATCGAAGTCGAAACACTGCGGGCTGCTACAGTCAACGCCCCGAAAACGAAACTGAGAATCGAGGATTGCGATTGTGACTGTCTGAGTCTGTCTTTAACAGGGGGTGTTTAAGCCCATTACGTTGCGTGCAAGGCACAAGGAGTCGATGCATATGTGCATAGATATCTGGAGAGTTGTTCTCTCTGTGATTTTCGGCGCTGCGGTTGCTCTTGCGGTTGCCCTTTGAGCTACCTTTTTTGGCAGGACAACACCCACGCACACAAAAGGACATTCGCTTTGGTTGCCTTTGACAAATTTTCATGCTTTAATTTTCAAACTGTTTGTGACATTTGCATATGGCGTGTGTGTGCGTGTGTGTGTGTGTGTGTGCGCTGTGTATGCCCTGATGTCCTAGCTAACCCTTGCTGAGCAACAGATAATCCCTTGCAATTGTTTGCTTGATTTGTTTGTTATGGAACTCGCTGCCGCTGTTCCTGTTGCTGTTGCTCCTTCTGCAGAAATGCTTGCGCATCCTTTTAGCATTGAATTGCTTGCCTTGGACAGGGTATCGCCCCTTTTTGGTTACACTTTAATGCGTTCTAATGTATGTGACTTTTGGGCACAGATCCTCAAAAACGTGCCTCAAACATTTGCCGACGCCGTCCGTTGAAGTGACTTGCGAAAATTTAGTTGGCCCATTGTCCTGCGTCAATCAGCAATCATCAATCATTTGGCTGCTCAATATAAATATTTCTGCCGAAATTAGGTTAAAGGCTTGCCAAAAAAAAGGGGGCCCAAACGACAATGCCAGCCGAATTCTGTATTCGGTATGCTGAGTTCCAGTTTTGAACTTATGTCATGACAGAAAATAGCTGGAAATGCCTTCTCCTTAGCCACCATATCTGTTCCACTGCATTAGTGTGTGTGTGTGTGTGTGTGTGTGTGTGTGTCGAGTGTGTGAGTGTGTGTATACAATAAATTAATTATAAATGCATTAATCACTGCCAAAAACTTTGACAAATACTGACATGAGCGTTCGTCGTTCATTTCGTCTCGTTTCGGTTCGTCTCGTCTCGTTTCGTTTCGTTCTTTGCCTCGCGCGCGCGTGAAATGAAAACAAAAATTTAAAACACGTTTTCGCGCTTATTTCTGACTAATTTATGCGTTCGATTTGTCCGTTGTCTTCCAACTGAGCTGATCATTCAGTTACACAGTTTCGTCTTAATTATACCCTATAAAGAACACTCGAAATGGCTCCAAAATGTGTAACCAGGGCAGATCGAGTAGATATTTTATCAGTCTTCTTTAATTGATTTGCTTTACGCATATACATTCCAATGGAAATGTGTTGGTTTTATACGATTCAGAGCTTTGTTGACATGATTCCTTATACCAGAAACATGGATCTAATGATTTATTCTAAAATGGTTTTAATTCTGTTAAAATTGCTTTTTATAGGGTATCTCTTGATCATGCCCAACTGCAGTGTATAATTATTCGTTTCTCGTTGTGCAAAATGCCACAGGTTTGTTGTTGTTGTCGGTTATTTTTTTATTATTTTTTTTTTTTCATTTCTGATTTTGATTGAAAGCCTCAAAAATTGATTTCCACCTTGCGGCATTTGGATGCTCTTTGGCATGTTTCACATTTGGCAGCTTTGTGCCGTATGCAAATGAGATCATTGATCTGTTTTGGTATCGATTGCTTTTCAGAATACATCGAGCGTGCCACAGAAAACCAAAAAAAACTTGAAACCAAATCATATTTGACCCTTAGGGGTCGCGCATGCCAATAATGAAAACCGAAACCGAATCCGTAACCGAATCAGCAAAACAGAAATGTTAATTTCCTGTATACAAATATTCGTATTTATGAAAAATGTAAGCCACTTGCTACAAAAGTTGACTCTTCCATTTTATACCCTTGCAGAGGGTATTCGAATAAAGTAACATGATATGTAACACGTTAAAATAGATATATATTTTTAATCAGAATCGATATTGCTATCATCACAATAATGTGCAGAGATTCCTTATTCCGTTGGAGGCTGGATTAGAGCTAGAGTTTATTAGTTCTGTTTACATTCTTGCTTACATCATATATATATAAATATATCACAATTCACGTTTCACTATTCTGGCAACATATCTGTAAAGTCCTAACAAATCTTTGTACTCGTTCTTTCTTTCTATGCTATATGTCTGTAAGGGAATCAAATTATCGGCTTGCCGGAATTAATTCTTGTCTTTTTCTTTATGGGGGATTTCTTTTTGGTCAAGTTTCGCTTTGTTCGCTGAGACCGTTGGACATATTTTCCAGTTTTTAGTGGCGCGAATTTGAATTTAATAAAATTAATTTATGTTTGTCAATGTATTGAGGCTGCTGCATTCGGACATTGATAAATTGATAGATCGGATTTGAGTGTGGCCAACAAATTGCTCCAAAATGCGAAGACACACATTGATATTTTTGTTATGACAACATTTACATGCCACACGATTGCTAGAAAGCTTAGCTTATTCCATATTTTATGGCTACAACCGGTTCGTAATGAGCTCCCTCCCGCCGCCCTCTCCAGCCCAACCTAGCCCAGCACGCTGGAAACACTACCGTAAATATTGTGATCAAACGGCAAGAACAGCTTCCGTGCGCATCGCATCTGATGGGAGCCCATTTCCATTTCCCTCCACGGGCGCTACACAAAAGTTCCGCATTGTTGTGGAATATGGAAAATATTGGGCGTGTATGTCATAAAAAAAGACGCGCTTAAATACCAATTTAACAATTGTTCAACACTCTTATTTTCTTCTTTTATTTATTTATTTATTTTTTTTTTGGTGGGTCTTTGGATCTGTG